AATTGTAACAGCAGCTGTGCAGGGGGACCCAAACAAATTTTTTGTCAGGGGGCCCAAGATTCCTGGCAGCGCCCCTGAGTTCAATAGTCACTTTGAAGCTAAGTATTTAACTTCATTATAATTAGATCAGTAAAGCTCAGAGCTAGCTCACAGCTAGATATTTAGCTCAGAGCTAAATATCTAAGTAAATATATGAACATGGTGAAAATAAGACTTTGAAAAATAAACTAGTTTCCACTCTTATGACAGGTTAATAACCCAAATTATTGTAGTTAACTTTTGACTGTGACTTTACACTATTGCTGGGTGTAAAGTTACACCCAGCAATAGTGGGTGTGACTGGGTGTGTAAAGTCACACCTACTTTACACACCCAGTGGGTGTATTTGCATTGGGTGACATCGATTCTACGTCATCTGACACCCAGCATTAGTGTAAAGCAGGGGTCCCCAAACTTTTTCCTGCGAGGGCCACATAGCTGTTCCTTTCTCAAGTCGGGGGCCGGTCTCAGGTTTTGTAGAAAGAAACCTTAGAAAATTCTTGTCGAGGCGGGGTGGGGGGGAAGAAGAGAGGAGGAGGAGGCTGTTCTGTCTTTGAAACTGTTGAGCGGGGGGTGGGGGGGCGACGACACATTCGCGCTTTTAGATAGATTTTTACCCAGAATGCAAATGGAAAAAGCCGTGAGTGAAACGGTGACTGGGACTGACTAGTATATATTCCATTGAGGGAAAGTTAGTTTCACTTCTGCTCAAAAGCCCCCTGGTGGTTGAAGAAAAATCCACATATAAACCGAAAAATACAATATATGAAAAAAAACACTGAATTCTCTCTGGTATGAGGAGGGGGGCCGGATCCGGCATTGTTCAGGGGGCCGGACCAAATGACGTGGCGGGCCGAATCCGGCCCGCGGGCCGGAGTTTGGGGACCCCTGGTGTAAAGTCACAGTCAAAAGTTAACTACAATAATTTGGGTGCAGAAACTAACAATGCCACATTTTGCAGCAACCACTTTCTAACAGGTAATGATATTACCTGATATTTTATATTTATTTTGGATATTTTTGGACACCATTCATATGCAAGGTAAACTATATTATTTTTATGCCCTGGGTTGTGCCCTCTGCCCTGCAGAGTGCTAATGTTAGCAGCTAGCTCAGTCCCGAGTCCCAGACAGAAAATATGTTTATTCAGTGGGACTTTAATGCTAAAAAAAATAAAATAAAATAAAAATTAAGCTAAATAACTTAAATATAGCCTACCCATACAGTCGCAGTGAGCTGTGACTATTCAACCACATGGTTCATGTCTGGACACGAAGTATATTCATGGGATATATGAACATGGAATTTCTGTAGATGGCAGTGAATGGTTGACCTACGTTGGACCTGAATCCAGCGTCCTACGACTCAACATGGACTCCAGCATGAATTCGGGTTTACAGAAGCTAAATAAATTGTTATCAGGAGATTCAAGCATAACAACAACTTATTAGCATCATTATATAGACTAATTACTTAAAATAGCACAACTCACCAGGCAGAAATGGTTGACCCAACCTGAAACTAGAATGCTATTCTCCAGGCTTTTGAAAACTTTCACCCAGCTCATCATATACGAGGTTTGCACTCCAGATAGTTATGTGGATCATCTCGACACCGGGTAAATCCTTAAGATTATAAGAGAAGTCTTTTCACTAGACGGATATGATATTTATGATCATATCCTAAATATACACATATTTTTTCTCAATCTGTGCAAGCCCACTTAGAGTATTTTTGTACTCACTGTGATCCATTTTGCTCTGTTTTGAATTGAAGAAATCCACTTCCGGACCTCCATCTGAATTTCACACGTCATCCGAGGCTAAATATTTAACTCTAAACCAAAATAACTAGGTCAAAGGTTGAGCCCATATTGGAAAGTGGATCATAGTTAGTTATGAACCACATAACTAACTGTCTGAAACCCAGCAATAGCTGCAGTTGGGTTTGAATAGTAAATACAAACACTTAAATTGATTAAAAAATGCATATTTCGTCTAAATGACATTTTATTTGATAGGCTTGGCCCATCAGTATATTGTAGAAAGCGTGATGTGATTATACCAAATATCTCTGTGAAGCTGTACAGACAAAAAAAAAAAAAAAAATCCAAAAATGAAGAAAATGATCAAAGGCCCTGAACACCTCACATTTTGAGCCCATTTCCCTTTAATCATGACAAGAATTAAGCATAATGAGAGCACTGGTGATGATACTCATTTCCCATTAAATGAATAACTAAATGATGAGTGAAGACCTTAACCAAAAGTTGTCATGCACTTGTACTTTGGACCAGGTGGGCAAACAGTGGGAATCACAAAAACCGAAGCCTAAAAGAGGAAGTTATCAAGAGGAACATGCATCAATATCACAATATAAAATGTAACAAATTCGAACAGAGAAAATTTTCATAATGTATGAGAATATGTAAGACTCTAGAAATTCCATGTCCGCTTACATTCTCACAGAACAGGCTCCCCCTACACAAGTTGAAGCTGACAAAATATCAGGTTTTACTTGACTTTCCTTGTAAACACCCAATACTCTTGGTGGCACTAGCAAACCAGAGAGCTGAATGGATTTTCACTTCAAGGATGGATTCAATGAAAAAATGCATTAATCATTGAAACTTATCAAAACAAAACAAAGCAAACATGAGTCTGAGCATAATAGATGGCAGTACTGAAGGAGGTACAGTGTGTGACATTTTGGTCATTGTGCCTCAGCGTTTCATATTATATGAATACATGGAATGCTAAAAATGATAAAGTTTTACATCTTAACACAACCTATAAAAGCACTCCTGTTAAAACATACAGATCTAAAAGTGGTGAAACCGAAGCTCAGGTAATAAACACACTACTGATAGAAATGGCACACATTCTCACTACAAAATCATAAATCCCTTGATTAATTTCTGTTGACTTTTTAACATGAGTGCAGCAGCAGCTACAATATGTAAACAACACACTGAGGGGGGAGCATTAGCAAAGGATAGCAAGGATTGGCTTTGGGATGTTGTGTCCACATGGTGGGTGGGGTTTGGTCAGCTGTCTTGCTGGAGGCCGTTTGTGGTCCAAGAACTCAACTGCAACACAGGTCACATGACCGTTAGATAAAACATGGTTTCACTTGATTCTTCACCATATGGTTGTGCTTTGGGGTTGATCGTACTTGGTGGGGACGGTGAGTGAGCCGGAGCGGTGGAAGTGGATGTTCTGCCACTTGCTATCACGGCGGTGCCAGATGCGGGTCTCCTCGGACTGCATGGTACGCGGCATGCCGTTGCCGTCGATGTACTGTGTGAGGCGGATGTAGGCAATGCAGGCCGCCTCGTCCCCGATCAGGTGGACGTGAGGGTTCAGCAGGATGGTGTGGATGGGCAGTTTCCCCTTAGACAGAGCTATGGAGAACAAAAGTCAACCAACCGGGACCCCTGAGAACACCGATGAACATAGGCGATCTTCTTAATTTTTGAGCAGTGATGTGGTAAAATGGAGATCTGAGATTGGATAAAATGCATCAGAAAATTTGAAAATGCAAACATGAACATCCAGTCTTCAACCCAACGCTGAACTCCGAGTAACCAGGTAACAAAGGGCACAGAAGCTGCAGTAGCACTACAGATGGCAGCTAATTCTGTGAAATTCAGTCCAGTCCTGACTGTAAACCAGCTGACCAGGTCTTTCTTTTTATGGCGGTTCAGCCATGTTTGCCTTCACTTTTACCACTTGAATAAGTTGGGCAGGCCATGAAATTAGCATTTCACAATAAAGTTCATTTTCTAGAGCAGGAGTTTTATACCCATATTACCATGAATGATGTGATATGTGCCACAGCGTACTTTTAGTGGGCCGTGATCATGCAGTTATACAGAAATACTTGTCTTGTGTCATCAGCATGCACAGAAAAAGATGTTGTAATACTCTGAGCAAAGGAAACAATATAACTATTGAATAATTTAAAGTGTATCAATACTTTTTATACGAAATGGTATGCAAACGCATATTAGCAGCATATACACTCACCGGCCACGCTATTAGGTACACCTGTCCAACTGCTCATTAACGCAAATGTTGAATCAGCCAATCACATGACAGCAACCCAATACCTTTAGGCAAGTAGACATGGCCAGACAGGCACCAACAACTCAGTTTCTGAATATTTCAGAAACTACTGATTTACTGAGATTTTCATGCACAACCATCTCTAAGGGTTTAGTTCTGTGGGCGCAAATACCTTGTTGATGCCACAGGTCAGAGGAGAATGGCCAGACTGGTTCGAGCTGATAGAACAGCAACAGTAACTCAAGTTGCCACTCGTTACAACCGAGAAGAGCATCTGTGAATGCACAATATGTGTGTGCCCGGCCACTGCTGTCAGCTAACAGGAAACTGAGGCTACAATTCGTACAGGCTCACCAAAATTGGACAATGGAAGATTGGAAAAATGTTGCCTGGTCTGATGAATCTCGATTTCTGCTGCAACATTCGGATGGTAGGGTCAGAATTTGGTGTCAACATCATGAAAGCATGGATGCATCATGCCTTGTATCAACAGTTCAGGCTGGTGGTGGTGGTGTGATGCTGTGGGGGGACATTTTCCTGGCACACTTTGGGTCCATTACTACCAATTGACTGATGGACCCAAAGTGTCAACACCACGGCCTACCTGAGTACTGTGGTAATAAAGTATCTCCATCCCTTTATTACCACAGTGTTCTGATCTTCTGATGGCTACTTCCAGCAGGATACCGTGTTATGATATGAACTGTGAATCATCTCAGACTGGTTTCTTGAACACGACAATTAGTTCATTAGCTTTCACAGTCACCAGATGTGGTGGAACGGGAGATTTTCATCATGGATGTGCAGCCGACAAATCTGCAGAAACTGCATGATGCTATCATATCAATATGGACCAGAGTCTGAGGGATGTTTTCAGAACCTTGTTGAATCTACAAAGGATTAACTAAAGACAGTTCTGAAGGGGGTCCTACTAGCAAGGTGTACCTAATAAAGTGGCCGGTGATTGTAGACCGCGCAAAAACTTGACTTGTGAAAGATTTTTGAGGTATTCTTTAGGTATCCACCTAAAAAATCAGTTTTTTACTGGATGTCCATGTCTGATCAGCTTTTCATTTCACAGCTACATGAATTTATCTCCTCTTCTGCACACTTACTTTCATAAAAGCTCAATCTACTAGAGGTTTCTGCCTACAGCAACTACAATGGATAATTGTTTATTTGCTGCTCAGTAGTCATGGATTCACCTATTTTTATAGAGCATGGAGCTTGGGTCATTGAAATACAATGACAAAATGCTATGTGGCATGCGATTGGCTGCCGTTTGCAAAGCATTCAATCCATTTATTGATTGTAACTTCAAAGAGCCGCTAATGTAGATGGACTGTTTCCATTATGAATATCAGTGTATGATAAGGTATATTTGTTGTTTGAACTATTAAAATAGGCAGTCATAGGAGTTTATAGAGGGGGGCTCAAATATTTTAGCTATATAATAAAAACAATAAAAAGTAAAAACAGAAAAATATAGGAAATAATCATGCCAACTGACATGCCAATTTGCTTCAAAAGGAGCATAAATCTCCCAATATCAGAAAACCAGAAAAATAAGAAAACTTATTATATGAGTAACAAGAAAAAAAAGAGTATATTACCAACCAAGTGTGTGCGTGTATTTTTGAATTGGCTTTCCAACAAGAAACCTTGAACTTAGACCCCAGAATTTCCAGAAAATCTTTACCATTTTCAAAATAGAAGCGGTGGAACTCTGTGCCTTCGACCAGGTTTCCCAAAGCCTCAGGTTCAAATGATGTGAGACCAGGGTCACAAATCTTCCTGAAACAGACGATCACATTAGAGTTGCCTGAAGAGAGAAAGTTACAGAAACACATGTATGAAGCTAGCTGAACTCACGTGTAGGCCTCAAAGTCTCCGTTGTTGATGGCCTCAATCAGCTGCTCTGTCACTTTGATGATCTCCTGCTTACGGGCTGCAAAAGACACACCCAAGAAAGTTACTGTTTGTTGTAAATGGTGAACTGAAACACAAGTTGGAATTTTGAGCTTTATGAGAGCACTGATGATAATCATGTTCAGGAAGGGAAGCTCACAGTTTGAGGCATGGCTCACACACAGTCACATGGAGAAGAATGAATTAGAGGCTGGTTGGAGGTGAAGGGGATGGAACTCAATGCAACATCAATATTACCTTTCATGCTAAAGAGGTAAGCTAGGAGACAATGAATGCAAATAGTAAGTAGTGCATCCTTCACACAGAAACCTGTGTACCTTGGACAGCTTCAGTGTTGTTTCCAGCTAACTGAACACTGACACTCTGCTGTCCGGTCACATGTCCAAGAATGGTCACCAAGACCAGGATACCACCTACTGATGACTGACACATACTTCTGCTGAGAAGGTCCAAAAACAAGCCGCTCCGCTGTCAGAGAACAGACAAAAATAAGGCAGTGGTCCTGCATCCAACAGCACCACTTAGTTCTGATTGACCATTTGTGAAACTACTGAAACACTGCCCGTCCCCTCATGGACTTTACTTTGCAAGTAAAGACACTACAGATAAGGTTGCTGATGCACATCCAGCTAAAAAAAAAACAAAAACAAAAAAAAAAACAGCTCATTACAAAACTCAAAGTCTTTAACTTTTAGACAGATTATGAGTTGTGGGAATAAGAGTTGTTTCCCAGTGAAAGAGGGTGGGCGATATGAAAGTATGTAACTTTTATCAAAGCCCTCTTGTCCTACGTGGACACACCCGGCAGGATTCACCCTGGATTTATTCATGATAACAGGATTTCTGCTGTTTGGAGATTGCAGATACCTGGATTATCGATAAATTTATGACGGACTTGGTCGAACTAGCGAACACTCGGACTGTTGGTGTGGACAGAGATGCAAGTTGGATGTGAGTCTTGCTGAGACTCGCAGCCCAGCTGAGGACTCTAAAACTCACCAACAGGATGGAATCGATCTTGGAGAAGTTGCTAGTTTCGGTTCAGTGGAACGACCAAACTAATTTGGATAATTGGGAACTGAGATGTATCGGAGAGATTTTAGGGAAGATTGAAATTTATAATCTTCCCGACCTAAGACATTTTGTTTACGAATTGGCTTTCCCCATGTGGCCTTGGAAGGGCTGCATATCTCTAATCTCCTTGAAGATATGTAAACACAATGCTCCTTCCCTCCTCACCCCCTGCTGTTTCCATGGAGCTGTAGAGCTGAGCGCTCCCAAGGACATCATTCCTTGATAACACCTTTATCGGACTTCTGCCAGGAGGCTGAGCAACGTGGTTTCATGGCCCTGTGACGTCACGGCCTTCACTCATGTCTTTGTTTTGCCCTTTGTTTTGTCTGAGTGTTGCCATTTGCCCTAATGTGTCCTTTCCTCTTTTTATTTTATTCTGTTAGAAACTGTGGAGTACTCACTTTTAACCCAGAAAAGGAATTAGAACAAACTTGGAATCCAGAGACTCTCGTTTAGTCTCTTTAGCTTATTTTCTTCTTTAAAGCCAATGGATAAGGAACCATATTAGATCTGTACTTTTCTCTACTTATTTACACTTGGAAAATATCTGGAGTAGCGTCCAGGGTTTATTCAAGGATTCAAGTTTTTTTTTTTTATTGTCGTACCAGCTTTGCTTGTTTGTGGTATGAAATTTATAGAACCTGAATAGGACCAAGGACATCATGTAGGTTTCTTGATTAATTTTAAAATCACAGAAACTGCAGCAGTTTACTTAGAACTGGAACTCTGTGTCTGTAGAACTTGAGTTCACTTTTTCAATGACAACTGACGGAAAGGACAGTCTGTTGTCTGTCACGGTCTAAAACAGTCTTTCTCAACCCTGGTCCTCAGGCCCCCTGCTCTGCATGTTTTAGATGTGCCTCTCTTCCAGAACAGCTGATTCAAATGATTGCATGATCATCAAGTACTGCAGAAGCCTGTTAATCACCCAGAGATACAATTCAGGTGTGTGGCAGAAGGGAAATACCTAAAACATGCAGGACAGGGGGTCGGTGAGGACCAGAGTGGAGAAACACTGATCTAAAACATTGAATGTAAAAAAATCTTGATAAGTAAAAATATAATCCTAGTTACCACCAATATTTGTAAGCAGCATGAATCAAAGTTAGCAAATGGACTTTAGCTCAGCTCAAGATTGTAGCTTCCTTCCAGCTACCATGACACTTACAGTGGGAGTCGGTGGGATCTTGGTCAGCCAGTGGTGCTCTGTGCTGGGTGTCAGTGCCCTGTGTGGGGGCGTACTGGGGACCGCAGTGGGATGCAGTGAAATGGTCAGAGAAAAGGACCAGGAGGACAGATGTGATGAAAAGGAGCAGGTAGGCAGCCATCAGTGACCATAGGATGAACTGGCTGCACTCTTCACCACTAGGCCAAATGCTTGGAGAATACCAGCAGGAGGAAAAGGAAGAGGAGGAGGAGGATGAAGAATGTGAGAGCAAAGGGGGAGAGGCTGAGTACTTTAGGTGCTTCAGGTGGAAGATTTGGTGACTAGAGTACGGAGAGTGTGCTGAGGATGATGGGAAATGAGATGGAAATGCAGCAGGGATGACAAAGAAAATGAGATGGAAATACAGTAAACATGAAGAAATACATGCAGTATGAGCAGAAAATGACCATTTGTTCTTCACTCTTTAACCAGCAAGGAACAAATCACACAGACAACAGGAAGCAGAAGACAGTAATGGAACTCTTTCTCTCCAAAATGGTGGCTCCGAGAAGCCTGCAGCGCCATAATGCTGCATCACGTCATGTGATGGGAGGAGCCCCAAAAGAACAATCTAGGAACGGCTGTTCAGAAATGGTATAGATCTGGCAACCCACTGCTGACGCACTGTACTGGCTGATGCAAATGACACTGTCAGTTTTTAGGGCAACATTTCCCCTGACAATTGCAACTTCATCTAAACCTCCTTCAAAAAAAAAAAAATCACAAAGTATTCATATAAATGCACAGTAGGCAGGACCAGAAACATTCAGAGAAAGCCAAGTTGGGAACACCCATTCATTCCTTCATCATTTCATACAGAAAGTTTTTCTCTAATAAATAGTGGCACATCCAGTTTTTGTTAATAGAAAAAAAAAAGTTTTCCATCCATCCATTCTTAGTGCAGCATCTCAAAAAGGCTGGTTCCTTTCTCCAGGAGTTAGATGGGAGGCGAGGTACAACTCCATGCAGAAACATCCTGGATTCAAACCCAGACCTTCTAAGAACAGCTCCGCTTTGCAGCCCAAATCTTTTTCAAGTCCAATTAAAACAGAAGATTAAAGAATAGTAATATGGCTTTTTTTTTTACACATCTACAAAAGCCAGACTGTTTGTATTCTTATGTTGTTGCTCTGCCATTTTAAGTCTGCCACGTATTAGATATTGTCTCAGTCCAGAACAATTGAATCCAGTGCTGCTAGAATTAATTGGCTCCCTCTTGGTCAATTTCTCTTCTTTCCTTGATTTCAAAGTCAG